TCTGCCAGCAAAGTTTCTAAGGGAAGCTGTAGGTGGCTCAACTCCTGGCTTAGGTGAAATCTATCCTTGACGTCTCAATATCGTAAGGAATTGCGTGTTACTCTGGCTTGTAGGTCCCCTTTGGAGTTCTGTGGTGGACTTTGCTGATGAAACAACATATCCCTTGGGAGATGGCTCGGTCTAAATGTCAGTCCACCAACAAAGCTGGAGCAGCGTTCTTGTGTCGGGCCTTCAACTAGTCACGATCTGGTCGAAAAGTCGGGTCGCAATGCAATTACGAGAGCTGCTTTGACCTCTTCCTACAATAGAATGCGTGTTACCCTGGCTTGTAGGTTTCCTTCAGAGGTATCTCCATAAGCAAACGAATGCATTAGGTTGTAAAAAGTTCCTATCCTGTTCAGTAATGGTGATGGGGAGGCTTGTGGTGCAGCAGTTGCTGCACCTAAAAAAATTCCAGCTCCCGCAGAAGAAGAAATCCCCGGGGTGCGTAAAACATTTCACTACCGCTTTTACACCCACACCCTCATGTCCTACTAGACCTTTTCTTGAAATGAGGAGAACTGACACACTGTATGCCCTCCCAATCACTGATGAGACTGAATGCCCCCTTTGGTTCTCGCACTAGAACTTTAGACTTCTCGAACATAGCTATCAATGTGGTTTGTTCGACTGAAAAGGGTATTTTAGATACATTTCCGATCGAAGAAAGGCGTATCATGGTGGAAAAGATTGCGTCTCCATACGGGAATACCCGTGAAAATCTCCGACGGACGTTACAGCGAAATCAACGAAGAGGCCTCAATCCAGACTCCTCTCGCCCTCGGTTGACGGTATAGCACATAATTTGGTTCTTATAATTTTTTTGGTACAAAGAAGATGTATCATGGTTTAGTGGCTACTAAATATAACATTTAGGGCAAAACTAGAAAGAATCGCGTCAAAGCCGAACCTCCCTCACCGGAGCAAGAAGAGTCTGCGTTGACCACGAAGGAATTGAAGCTACCTGTTCAAACTATTCCCAGGAAAAGGTAAATCATTTTTCATTCACTCTATAATGGCGCGATTATACTTTGCGACTGCCTTGCACTTCGTTTGCTGTCCTGCGTGGAACGGTACGTATCGATCGTGCGATCTCACGATCGATAAGTATCCACAACACGTTCGAGTTGTAGGAATATGACCGCATTCTCACCAGGAAGGTCTTTCAGGGCGTGGAGCGTTTTCGAAAATGGATTCTATCACGGTATAGGGTACGTGCGGGAACATAAAACGTTGACCATTTTTTCCGAGCAGCCCTAGGATTGCCAGAAACAAGGGCAAGAAACTTTTCTTGGGGACTGAAACTTTTACATTTTTAACAATTTTCTACAGAATTTTTTAGCGTTGACTAGTTCCATATCGGAAACCTTTTGCTTATTTCATAAGTTCTGGCAAATATGAGCCCAAGAAAGTGGAAATCAGAGAAATGCAAGAATTTGTTCAAGGACTGCCGGGTGGAGACGATCTTCTGTCGTGTGTGAGTCGCCGAGTAGCCCTTCGACAGCAAGAATTTGTCTTCAGTGGGGATCGAACCACAAATCCTGGTTTCCACTTGTTTTTTTGGCATTCCCATAGTCGCTCTGAAAAAATGCTTTTCAGTTTTATGCTTTCTATTGTCCCCATAACATACAGAAAAAGCTTTTTGAAAGGCTCATGTCCTGAAAGGCTTCTTTGGTTAGAACGAAGCGCATACTGTATTGAATTCATGAGCTTATATCATGACATAACAAGATTTTTGAGGCTTTCCTGCACAGAGCCTATTAGTACACTTGTCTTCATGGATCTGGCCAGCACTCATATATTCCCCGGCTACAGTGAAGCTCAGCTGCGAATTACTCCACAGCTCCTATACGAACCTGCCCGATGTACGAATACTGTGAGGAGGTTTATTATGCAGAGTGCGTCTTTACTACTTCCTTTAGTGGTCGAATAATTACTTCTGGATGGCTGAGTTATGGCAGATATATAAACAAATTTATTTTAATAAACACTCCAAAGTTCTTTTACGTTTTCCTGGGCTTGATTTAGGCTAGGCTTCCTGTAATAATTATCTACTGCTAGAATAGCTACGCTTACAGGCCAGCGCACAAAGATTTCGTGTGTGAGTCGCCGAGTAGCTCGGTTTTGTGTCCAGGTGAATGCCTCCTTCTTCAAGTGTATTGAACATTTCGAGGTATTTCCGTTGTTACTGGCGCGTCTGTAAACTGGGCTGATCTTGTCCATGTATTGTTGTGCGTTATATTTTCCCAACGGAAGTGGTTATCAAAAGATAGTTAGAGCCATTAAGAAGATTGTCTTTATATGACTTGGTGCCCAATTTGGTACCAGGCTTTTCTGGCAGAAGAGTTTATTATGAGCGCATTCGCTGGTTTGTTATCTAGTGCCAAAGTGACGATGAAGAGACCGTTCCTTTTCCAATACTCTCTTGCTATTTCATCACTTAATGTCCGAAGGTTCATTCTGAATAGGGCAAGTGGGATATTGTTGACATTTCTATGGTATAAGCGTCCGCATGCTCGTTCTCTGATATCCAAATTTTCTATTTTTTTCTCGGTTTCTTCTGTGGAATTTTTGCTCTAAGCTTTGACCCTGAACAACTTTTAAGTAGAACTTGTTAATAGAAGCGTATGTTGAGAAAGAAAGAGTTTCACGCCATCCATATGTTGGAAACTTGTACGTTCTTGGATTCCGTCTTACTCTACTTCATGTATTACTTTTAAGCGCAACCATCCGACTTTCCACGTATCACGGAAATGTCGTTTTTGAGTGTTCCACGCGATGTCTTCGTACGGGGTCAGAAGACTATACAAAGTTTAATTCAGGAGGTGATGATTCCTTCTCATTGCTTCTTTGATTAACGATATCAGAAGAAGTTTTATACTGATTGATTTCTGCTTCTTTGCTCTTTGAGCTTTTTTTGTGAACACTTACTGGGTGAATAGTATCAGAAATACCGTTTTTCAGGCCCCCGAACAATCGTTTGTCCTTCGGCTTTCAGCGAACGTCCGTACCTGTCAAGTGAATCCACAGTTGTCCGAAAAGCAGTGGCAGGAATGTCAGAGCACTAAAGCCAGTGATAGCACGGGTAATCGATAATCAGTTTTCCCTCATTAATCCGTGTTTTCTGAATTAGTTTAGTTTGGGCTTTGAGTTTAGTAGTTCGTCGTGCTCGTCATGATCTTGAGTTGAAAAGAACTTTTGCACAAGAATGGCCATCGATGAGGAAATTCTTAGAAGATTGTGCCAAGCCTGTCTGTTTAAGTAAGTAAGTCTATTTTCCTGCTAATCACTTTCTATCCCAATCGCAATTCTTTTAGTCGCTCACAATGGTATGTTCTTCGATTTTCGAACTCTTTATGGAGAATTGATTCGATGCGGATTCATAGAAAAAGGCATGGGTATACCAAAAGGAGTAAGTCTCCACACTTGAGTGCCTCTCTGCTTGACTCTGAAGACAAATTTGTCTTAAGGTGGTTTTTGTGGACTCTACTTTGGCCATTCGCGAGATAGAAAACATTTATTGTAAAGAAGTGTCTGAAGCCACCAAGAAATTGGCAGCAGAAAAAGGTATTTTTGGGTTTATGTAAATGTGTTAGTAATCCATCAGGACATGATATTTTCTTCTTTCTTCAGTTCTTCAAGAGGCTGCGGCCCTTAAAGAAGCAAGTGGAGGTACAAGAGAAGAAGTAAAAGTGCATTCAAGGTTACTAGTACCTCGAGAAGGTTAGCTCTCTAGGACATTGAGCTTTTTTTTACTACAGTTTTGCATGTTCACTATACAAAATTGGAGAAATGTCTGCGTCTAGTACAGCAATGTTTCAGCAGATTAGGATGAAGGAACAAATGCTGTTGGAGTGCCAGCAGAGTGAGTTTCCAAAATCCATTGCGTGTTTTGTAATTTTGCCATCTCTTTTTCAATCTTATGTTCTTTATAAACTTCTTTTTGCTTTTTCGTTTTATTAGCTGCCAATTTTTTCGCCGCAGCTAACGATGTGAATGTTATTGGAGGGATGGTGAGTTATGAAGAGTAGGCTCCAGGCAGTCTGGGCTGAAATTCAAATCTTGGTCTGTATACTATCCTTCCCTTAGGAGGACGCGTCCCCACCGCTGACCCTACCCTACGGCTGGGAAGATAGGTTTACGTGAATGGCGGCCATACTCTGCGTTTCTAAATTCCAGACAGCGCAATCCCTAAGAGAAAAGAGTGCTTCGAGACAGGGGAGGTAGCTACAACAATCGCGCGCCTAATGGCGGGTCCTAGATGACGCAACTCTGTTTCCCCAGCCCTAGTAGGACCAGCGGTGGGGGACGCGTTCCTATG